TTCTGAGGCTGCTGCCAGTGGTCAAAGCCTCCAACAAAGCTCTGTAATTACAAAGAGAGTTAGATTTATATATCATAACTTAAATACCCTGTTATCTTTTCTACTTATTGCATATGTGTTGTTCATCATTGTCTCGTCAGACTGAGTGGCTGTAACCTCTCAGAGAAGAGCTGTGAAGCTCTGTCCTCAGTTCTCAGCTCCCAGTCCTCTAGTCTGAGCGAGCTGGACCTGAGTAACAACAACCTGCAGGATTCAGGAGTGAAGCTGCTTTTTGCTGGACTGGAGAGTCCACACTGTGAACTGGAAACTCTCAGGTCAGGATTCATCAATATGTTCCACTGATGACCACCTTAATCCTGATCTACATTAATGGATAAACTCTTAACCTGCATACAATTGTGACTGTGCTTGCATGTTTTTAAACCAATTGCGTTTATTTCTTTTCAATTATTTAAAAAATATCAATAAAAAATGTTTTATCGTCTTTTTTTCTCACTCTGCTGTTATGACTTGAAATATCAGAATAGAATCAGTTAGCAGTAATGTTATCAGCTTGTTGATGGACATTAGTTGGTGTTTGGTTGTGACTAGAAAACAATCAGTAACAATGATAATGTAACCCCATAGTAGGCGACAGTATCGCAGTACTGCAGTAACCTTACAGCCCTCACAGTTTCCTCAGATTATGTGACATATGTGTTGTTTTGTGTGTTTGTAGCCTGTCAGGCTGTCTGATCACAGAGGAAGGCTGTGCTTCTCTGGCCTCAGCTCTGAGCTCCAACCCCTCCCATCTGAGAGAGCTGGACCTGAGCTACAATCATCCAGGAGACTCAGGAGTGAAGCTATTTTCTGCTGGACTGGAGGATCCACAATGGAGACTGGAAACTCTCAGGTATGAAAAGGCCTGCTGCAGCCACAGACAATCAGTCAGATAGAGGAGGTAGAGCTGGAGACTTTTTCTCTGTCACACTGTCAGCCTGGTTAATATGACCCTGACACACCAAGCTAACCTCAAACTACCAGAGACACATCAAACTGTTTGTGTCCTACATCAGACCATCAATACAGACAGAAGTAGTCAGGGAACAGTAGCTAGGATGAGCCAAAACAGGGAGGGAAGGTGAAGAAACCTGTTGTTTTTCGGGAGTGTTGTCTTGTTTCAACATTAGAAAATGGGACAGTGGTGTATCCTGACACGTCGACGGGCATCATGGTGGGTTGACATGCGGCAACGTCATCACGCTGCAGGTTTGTGGGCTCATATCAAACAATAGTTGTATGTTTGGATCCTCGTCATCTGCCACCAGTGTGTGTTGCCCTTTAGTCCAGACATTATTGTGAAAAGACAAACAGACAAAGAAACAATCTGTTCAAACCGTCTTCATAAATCATCACAATAGGAATGTTTTGCTGTTTTAAAGGAGTTTAGCTTTACCTGGTTGTGGTTTGTTTTGCACTGAGAGCCAGTTCCCTGGCTGATAAGAAACTACAGGTGACAGTTGGCCACAGACACTCAGTGAAGAACCAACAGCTGATTGTGGACATGGTGTGTCAGAGCCCAATGTGGTTTATGTAGGACTGGACTAAAGTTATAGTGGGACACAGGCAGTGCTCTGTGGCTGCAGACGGACTTGAACTGTAATGTTTTCACCCCCAGATTACAGAACCCAAAAATAAATACTTCTATATTGACAATGGATCAGCTGACTCTGTGTAACGGTGAAGAGTCGTTGCGCGGTGATGAACCCACAGAGAATTGTCTTCATCTCTGCAGCTCTACAGAGCTTTTTAGCCTCTTTCAGATCCTAGTTTTGGTTCTGCAGCACAGTTCCTGTTTGGTTCAGTCTCAGTGTTTACAGTAGCAGCTGTTTTCTTACAACAAGCTGTGATGAAGCCACTGTTCACTACCTGCTCAGCAGCAAA